CAAATGTACTGAAATAATTCAAATTAAAGGTTCAGAAGATCTTGTAACACACTAGATATGAATTTGTTTATAAAGGTTAGACAAAAGCGCCACATGATGAAGGTTCATTACCACTCTAATTAATGAAAAATAGATCCAGTAACCAGCAACAGTCGCTGCTATCACTTATTGCTCTGAAACAAGTTTTCCAGCCGTGAAGTTCAAGAGCCTGATTACAGATAATGGACCTAAGCTTTCTGCTGGGAATTTGTTCATTCTGCAGCCTCAACAGAATTTGAACTTTTGACATTTCCATCATGCTGTAGCTTGACTAGAGGTAAAATAGAAGCAGCCGTGGTGAAACTGCTAATAGACTGAAACACATGAAATTTTTCACTCATATGGACCACTAGGAAGGCTAATTGCCCTGGAGAAATGTTAGATTACTAGAAGTAGGCTCAAATTTAAGGTCAAAACATTTGCAAATAGGAGTTTCAAACCCCAAATTTAAATTGAATAAAGTTTAGACACTAGAGTCAGCAGTGTCCTGGAATCCAGGAGGGCGAATCGTGTCCTGGGGGGCATCAGGAAAGCATCGCCAGCCAGTCACGGGAGGGGATTGTCCTGCTCTGCTCTGCACTGGTGTGGCCTCACCTTGAATATTGTGTGCAGGTCACCGAAATATAGGAAAGACATTAAGCTCTTAGCAAGTGTCCAAAGGAGGGCAATGAAGATGGTGAAGGGCCTTGAGGGGAAACCGTATGAGGGGTGGCTGAGGTCAATTGATGTGTTCAACCTGGAGACCTCACTGCAGTCTACAACTTCCTCGTGAGGAGAACTGGCGTTGTAGGCATCCAGAGGGTGGTTATACTCTGGAACAGGCTCCCCAGGGAAGTGGTCACAGCACCAAGCCTAACAGAGTTCAAGAAGTGTTTGGACAATGCTCTCAGGCACATGGTGTGACTCTTGGGGATGGTCCTGTACAGGGCTAAGGGTTGGACTTAACAATCCTTGTGGGTCCCCTCCAACTCAGGATATTCGATGATTCTATGACTAAAATTCACTTGCCCTTGCTGGGTGTCCTCACATAGGAGTCCCAAAGTCTCTTACAAAGTCAGCAGGAGAGAAAGAAGTTCCTCTGAAAGCCTAGCAAACTTCAGACAGGCAGGTGAGACCAGCAGGATCTTACTCTTCTGACCCACAGCTTGTTATTTATTATTCATAATTATTTTTATGATGTGTTAATTGGAATCTGCCTTCACAGACTGAGATTTCATTGCGACAGTAAAACCTCTGATGCACATAGGAGACTGGCCAGAAGTTTTGTCAGGTCCCATACCACCATTTAGGAGACCCATTGCCAGAGGAAGGACAATAGATTCTTCATTTAGAAGAATGGCTTGACAGGGAGGGGATGCCATACTTCTTCCTGCTTAGACTTGTCCTCTTTTATTTCAGGGATCTTCAGGGAGCTAAGGCACAGCCATAAATTTCTTCCTGTGTGTCAGCATCCCTGGTCTCCAGAGGCAGCAGTTAGAATATGTAGTTCTTGGATTTCTGCTCTTTTTAACAACACAACACAGCAACATTGCTCTGCAGTGCTAACAGCCAAGCTTCAGAATGATATGCCTGGGAAATTCAGTGTTTGCAGAGGCATGTACATATTTAAGTACTTTACATGCATGGAAGGATGGGTTGCTATTCTTTTTACAATATGTACACAAGTCATATACAATCAGAGAAAATGCGCAGGTAACTCCTGACACGGGACAAAATAAAAATCAAGGTTTAATACTACACTATTATTCCCATTTTTACAGAAATAAACAAGATTACAAACCTGTCAAATAATTTGATAGATATAATTACTAACATGTTAGCATACAGCAATGCTTGATGAACTAATTCGCCAGAATAGTGACATTGTAGGCACACTAACACAAGCAGAGAGCTTTGGTCCTGAATAAAATTTCTTTGGTTATTAGGTTATTAATGGAAAAAATAAAGGCTGTCTGTATGTGATCCTTGAGGCAATCCTCAATTTTGTTATTTCTAGCTCTTAGGCCATTACCCATTGTGAGTTATGTTCAATCACAAAAATAATAAGAGAACAGATCTGTTGGAGATATATAGCAAGTTTAAGTAATAACAAACAGACTAAGTCTTCTAAAATATTATTGTTCCACTGTAACAATAAATGGAAAGTATAATTGAATGAATGGCTAAGTAAATAATTAAAAGGAATAGGCCCAAACTGGCCATGTGCTCTTAAGGGGACCTTAGCACTGATTTAATTGAGTTCCCCCTGAAGCCATCCTTTCTCCAATCTGAATATGTCCAGGTCCCTAACCCACTCCTCACAGGGCAACTGATCCAGCACTGATCATCTTGGTGGCTTAACTGAACTCACTCCAGTTTTTTAAGGTCTTTCAGGTATGGTGTTTGACGGGTAAAATAGGGTGCAGTCCACCACGTCTTGAACATGGTCTAATGAGTGATGAGTAAAGAGAGATAACTGTGTGTCTTCACCTACTGATTGTGCTCTGGCTAACACAGCCTGCCGACCTTTGCTGTTGCAGCACACTTTGCCATGACTGCAAAGCCAAGGTGTCAGGCAAATAAGTATTTTATGTAGCAAGAGCTACAAGATTACGTGGCTTTTCCTCAAAAGATCAAATGTAGAGAGATGCTGAACATCAGAACATCAGAAACTCCCTTCTGGGACACTTAAGTACAGAAATGGACCAAAATAATCGGTAGAAGAGAGACACAGAATAGTCAATGGTAAGATATTCAAGCTATTGGTTTATTTTCCAGAAGCTGCAGAAAAACGTTCCCTTTCTATCCAGTGAAGCAGCATAGGAAGATATCCACAAGCGATAGACTATTGTTTACTAATTAATTGAGATAGCAAGTGATGGAGTTGCAAATGGGACAGAAAAGGTGCTTCTAAGGTCAGAGACTGCCTACATAAACATAGGTGAAACAAGAAGAGCAGGTAAACTCCAGAGAAAGAGGAGATACCACATTCAAGTGAAGTAAACTCCAACACTCAGGGAGGTTTGTGCCGGGAGACCTGCCTGAACTATTTCACCAACAGTAGGAGGGTAGATATGAGTTGTTTAAAGGAAAGGATGGAAATCTACACTAGTCACTCCATGAATCACAGAATTGTTTATGTTGGAAAGGACTTTGAAGGTCATTGAGTCAAACCGTTAACCCAGCACTGCCAAGTCTGCTACTAAACCATGTCCCTAAGAACCACACCGACATGTATTTTAAATATGCAGAGTTTTGGACAATGAAGACCCCTCTATTCAGGCTTGCTGGGAAATAACAGCTTAAACTGAAGTTAATCAATAGTATAAAACTTGCCAGTTGAGTGGGGACAGGAGAGGGAGGAGAAACAAAAGCTGAACTGAACATTGGCATTTGGGAGAGCAGCAAAACACTCTTGAGAAGTCAAATGCTTCCGGCAACTTCAAATGCTCTAAAGGTGTTTCTAGGAAGGTCTAAATTGCTGTAGTAAGTTAATTTTACTAAAGTAACAGTGGTACTTTCTTATAATTGTGTGCTGACCAAATCAAAGTAGTTCTGTGACTACTGCAAAGTTTCAAGTGCACCATAAAATCTTGGTAATAATGATAAGTCTAGTAAAGGAGGATAGCCTTTGGATAGCCTAAGAAGGATAGTGTTTGATGATTTCTGCTTTCAACTAGGCATGGAAACCTTGGGGCAAGCATGTGACTTGGTAAGGCACCTACCCACCTCCCCTGCTGCCTGAACAAAAATGCCAATCCTAATTGCTCCTCTTCCATAGTGTCATAAAATAGCATAGATGGGGTATTACTTTCCAAGATGGATACATTCAGCGATGCCTTTCCACTTACTCACGCAAGCTTCTCCACTGGGAGAAGGTATGGATTTATCAGGGAATGAGGCAGAAGGAAAAAACTTGCTCTACCTGTTAGCCCTAACCAGTGTACTGGCCTGCTATGCCACAGAACTGCGTAACTCTTTTTCAGACCAGGATGGCATACATCTACATGACAATTCATTATTCACTGTTTACAGAGACCCATATGTTTAATGATTGTAAGCATGTGCCTTTGTGTATTAGCCACTGTGGAGATGCATGGAAGAACGTGTTTCCTGGCCCAGTCGATCCATAAGTTATTTTGGGATACAGGCAAATGAAATTAAAGGCTGGAGAGAGAAAAATAAGTTGACAGAGAAGTTGGGATATTGATATCCTGAAGTTTCACAGATGATCTGTATAAACAATTTTTTCCAAGCCATTAGAAAAATAAGAAATTATCATATAAATTCATTTAGACATCCTTGATCTCTGCCTTTATTGGGAAACTGCTTTCCTGCAGATTTCTTTTCAAAATAGGGTTTTGACTGGTTGTGAGCCTATTCACCATTCTCACTAACAAATTCTAGGGCAAAGAAGGTGAGGAATATTCTCTTGAAATACCTATAGAAGAAGTATGCTATATCCAATGCTGGTGTCACTGCAGAGCAGATACCTGGACTGTCATGCAGAGAAGCAGCAATGTTGTCAAAAGATATTTCTAAGTAGGTTTTCAAACTTATTGCAGCGTACACATGTCTGATCACAGAGGTAAAATGAGGAGAACCTAATGTGTAGGCATACGTGCATGGTATCTGTGTATGTATGTAAAAGACATGTAATATGTCCATTAAATACATACAGCTCCTGTGATTTTCAATCAAATCAGCTCTCAACCCCTCATTCATCCTATATACAGGCTAGGTGCATGACATGTATGGTAAAATGTCTTTTGGAGAACATGGGAAACACGAACTGACTGGTATTCAAGGACATTGTGATTTTATATCTAGAGAAACCTTGGGCAGATGACAGTTGACATAGCTATTCCGGTTTTACTGCCGGTTACTGTAAAAAGATTCCAGTAGTTTTCATTCAGAAGTAAAACAAGGAGGGGGAAGGTGTTTATTTTTATCTTAAAATAAACTAGAGCTAGGACACTCACCTATTACACAGAATGGTTTCCTTGCAAAGCGCAGTCTTCCTTGCCATCCTCGGTATCGACAACAGCATCCAGCAGACCAGATACGAATAATAAATTCCAAACCAAAGACAACAATCATGACAAATTCCTAGAAATGGTAAATAAGAAAAATGCCCGTTACAGATAAACAATGCTAAAGCATCAGGAAACTTATGACCATTGTTTGTGTCTATCAATCCACCCTGAGCATCTGAAGATCCCAAGCCAAACTTGGGAACCTGCTCCCCAGAAGCATCTACACATCTACAAGAAGTATCTTGTACAGTCCCCATCATCTACAGTCCCCAGAGCTTCCTAGTGAATGGTCCAGGTCTAACCTGAATACCATTAAATATCGCCTAACATTGGCTAAGAAATATGAAACACTGAAGAACTGAATCATACACAAAAAATGTCAGAGCTAACTACTCAGAGACTTTGGATACTGCGGGTCAGACCATAGGTAATTTAGACAACTAGTGAAGAATATGTTCCATATTCACATCCATAAAATTAGTTTAAAGGTGAAATGTTTTGGGAGATATGTTCCCATTGCTGCAATATACACGTGAAGTGACTGAGATGATGCAGAAGCATTTAGGAAACAAATTTGTTCTCAGAAGTACATTAAGATACATGAAAGAAGTACGTTAAGATACATGAAAGTGTAATTACATACAACGGGTATGTAATTGTTTGTAAGGTAGTAAATGAATGTGTCCACTAGGCATAACTTTCCCTGGACAATTTGTGAATGAAAGTATTTATAAATCTTGCCTTGACTGTTTGGCTTGCTTTTCTTTCACATTGGAACCTTCTTTAAGACTGTCTATTTTAATAACATCAACCTGTATTTATGCAATTTTTTTTCTAAGAAAGTTTTCATGACAACAGTGAGGTCAACAGGGTTGCAGTAATAGAGTAATTCAGTTCCATACCCTAAGGAAATCTAAGTGCATACACTGTGGAGTGATATAGTACATACACACTGGTATGGAATTATAATTTTAGGTACTCTTCTGGAATAGCATCATAAAGTTCTGAGTTTTGGAATGACAAAATAAAAATTTTTGTGTTCACCAAAAGGAGAAAAGTACTTGATGGAGTTTCTTCAACAGCTCATCAAGAAGAGGATGGAAGTTGTGTTTTATTTGGCAGTTGAACGTATTTTCTTGTCCAGAAGTAAAATGTTCTTTGTCAGCCAATTAATTTATTATTCCTGCAGGATAAGGACTAGTGTGGTACTGGTAAGAAAGGACTGCAAATGAATTAGAGGAATATTTGCAATGGTAGAGTTGATCCAGTATTGACTTTTCCCCAATAAACACTTTTCATGCTTTTAGACTGTGAGACCCTACAACTCTACAAGCCAATAAGGTTGTAAATATAATATATGTCTACTCAGGCATTAATTTACCTGAACAATTGGCAAACAAATTATTAACGTTGTTTCGTGTTATGGTGCTTTCCTAGGTTATGATTAGTGGAAGTACATTGAAACATTGCGAATTTAATTGCTTTTGCCATCATAGAACAATTTGAAAACACAATATTCCTTCCTAAAACATGTCAGCTTGTTTAACTACATTACATTGAAAGCACTTTTAGAGCCTTCTTCAGTGTCTTCCTTTGAGTTTTGTAAATCCCAGGCTGAATGCCTAAATCACAAAAGCAGAACAATGTCCCTCTGCTAAAACATTGCTAAAGAAAATGTCATACTTTTTATTAGCAAAGAACACAAGGAAAAATGAGTGTGATTGTTTAATATTTTCTTTTTATTCCACTACAAGAAACTTCAACTTAATTCCATGGACAGTGTTATTACACAGCCTCAGAAAGGATTATGTACAAAATTGAGAAAGTTCCCCATATAGTAACAATAATTCTTAATAGTTGGCTACCGTGTGGTACATTTCCTTGTAGGAAATTCTGTGTAGGCCAAGACTAAAATGGACAGTAAGCCAACTGGAAAAAAGGAAGAATACATATTTTAGTTATTTAACTACCACTTTTATAGAGGTAGTGAAATCATGGATTGTGAAATCTGGTTTACACATTGTTATATGATGTCTCTGAATTTATGGGGGTTTGATGGCAGGCACCCAAGCCATCCAACATCTGATTCTCCTAATGGAGTTTCTTCTTTGGTGCAGGGGTAAGAGATACAGAAGGAGAGAAGGTCTGTGAAGCATGGAAAATTCTTTGCTTCCAATAAAATCCTTTCCTTGTTAAAATTTAATCACATTTCATTTGACTAAAGTTTGGTGTTTCCCTGGAAAACATATTATATGTACAGATGGGTGATGTGCTTTGTAAGTACACTGAAATTGTCACTGACGTCTTACAAGAGATGATCCACACATGCAGGAGTGTGTCCTCTACCATACTCTAGACCTCAGCAGGGCCTCTGATGAAAAACTGGCAAGAACAGAAAGTACTTAATGAACCTGGAAGGACTAGTCCACAGCTACAATTCAGTTAAATTAGTATCACAATGGTAGAAGTACAAAAGAGGTAATTTTTTTGGAAGTTCACTCTTCTGGTTCCTACCAGTGCTTTACAGCTTTGTATTCATCACCTGTATGGCTATGTGCTATGCTTGCTCAGTTATACAAAAATGAAAAAAGTAATTGTGTGCTGAAAACACGTGCTTGAGTGTCTCTGTACTACATGATGCTCTTTTATGTCAGAGACAGAAATCCTATTTGTCCCTCACACACAAATACATATACTACAAAGAGAAACTTCTTGGAGATACATCTATTTTGGGAGAGAAAAGGAGTAAAAGGATACTTTTCTCAGCATTTTTTTTGTGCAGGTGGGGTAAGAATATAAGATTTTTTTAAGAAACAATGTGAAATATTTCTGTTCATTCCTTGAGAAAAATAGTTACAATTTCTAGCACCATTAAAATTTATGCATGGCGATATTCCCTCAGTATTAACTAAAGTTTCTGCTACTAAGTAAATTTTAAAAAGAGCCACTGTAGTTACAGTAAGTGAGATTAAATACAGAAAATATGGCTCTGTGCACTTGGAAGTTAAAAGAATTGCTGATTTTAACAATACTATATATGATTTTCTTCCACCAATATCAAATTTCTAGAGGTTTTAAAGTACATTATAACCTTTAATATAGAAAAAACACTGAACAAAGTGTAGATGAGGTTTCACACTTATTTTTGCACTTCCTGAAATAGTTGTGTTTCAAACTGATCCTTAAATGCTGGTGACTCCTACTTCCTTGAAGAACAACTGATTTTAAAGGGAATACATATAACAATTAAGTCTAAGGGAAAACGATTTTCCTAAAAAATGTGAATGCATTGAAACAGAACTCTTCACAGTAGTATATATGACAGCTTTGTTGTATTTTAGATTGGTCTGGGTCAAAAACAGAGACAAAGAATCCTACACCACTGTGTAAAAAAGAAGTGTTTTAGTAACCAGGGCACGTGGTCACAATGTACAGGCAAATCTCTGTCAAGGTTAATGCAGGGCAGGGAATGACATTATCTTTTTTCCTATGGCAACTGTATAGTCACAAGGTACTTCGTTTTCCATGGATAAAAATTGGAAGAATGAATCCCAAACAAGATCGAGATTTCTACTTTTATTTTTTTTTTTTAATTTCATTTGGAAGGCTTCTTGCAAACTTAAACATAAATCTAGGCACTTAAATAACTTGGGTTTAGTTCCTTAGGAATTGGAACAGAAGATCAGAGCATAATTGGAAAGGCATGTGACAGAATATCTCATTAGACTTCATATGATTTGTAGACCTGGTGTAGAAATGATGCATTCCTGTATCTCTATCCTACATATAAATGATGGAGTTGCATTAATTTTGAATTCCTTATGTGATATGAGTTACAACATTTACATCAGAATCAGAAAATCCTGCATTCTTGATAAATCTGGTCTCTTCAAAATTCAGCAAGGCTGTATTTGAATTGATGAACAAGTTTAGATTTACTGGAAACCCAACACTTCCCTTCCAATGTAGAGCAGAGGTGCATTGGCCTTTGCCATTTCTTGCTTTTTCCACATCTTGTCATCCTTTTCCAATCACAGCTGCCTCTGGCCTTGCACCACAGTTACCACAATCTGTCACTTTTTTGGCTATTTAAACTCACAGTTACCACCCCCCAGTAACTGCTATGGTGGTTCACACAGTGGAAAGTTCTTCTTCCTTCTCAAAGCACAATTCATCCAAACAAATGAACTTTTCATTCTGAAGTGTTTCCGCACACACAGCTCCAGTTGACTTGGGGAACCATGCATACACAACAGTAGCAAGGTTGAAACATATAGGCTTGAAAAGTTCAGTTGCTTTTGGTGTGAGGAACACAGGTATCAGAGTACTCCTTAAGTTTTTTTACATGTGTGTGCCTGGGTTGTTATACCACTGGAATGACGAAGGTCACACAAATGGCAGGAAAGGAAAATAAGAGGTCATCCAGAGCAACATTTCTGTTAACAAAAGGTCCTGGAGGACTCTTATCAACAGGGTTGATAATTAGCCAAATCAAGCATACTTTGTACAATCCAGCTACATAAGCATATTTTCCCCCTTTCTTTCCCCCATCTAATTAGGATACAAGAGATGATTCGTTGAAATTGTTTACATTAATATGCTTTTCATGTAGTTTTTAATGATAAGGATTTCCCTAAGCAAAACATTATAACAGCAAAAAAAGATCTTATATCATAGTTTCTTACTCTTTAGTATAACAGGTTATTAAAAGTTTAAACAATTTGCTGATGATGAATCCAGGTGCCTTCACTGCAGACTGTAGTTTCTGGGAATTAGAGCCATTTTTGCGATAAGAAAATTACCAAAGTTGAGCACTTTGTGCTATTCAAGGATGCTCCCGGTTATTTCGCAACTTGCAAATGAGCTAATGTTTGCTACAAGAAATTCACCCACAAGACAATATCTCTGCTGTTATTTTAATTATATTCCTGCTATGGAAGTTGTGATGTTAATTATTCTAAAGGCTAATGAAGTAGCACGAAAGAACTGCAGACTGACATAAAGAGCTGCTTGCCTTGAACTCATAGGAGGACTGGGTCTATAAGAGACATTGTCAGAAGCCCAAGAAATGGA